TACTATAGATATATATATATATATATATATATACAGGACAGTACTATATATATATATATATATATATATATATATGTATATACATGCATACATATATATATATATATATATATATTATGTATATATACGTACATACATACATACATACATACATACATACATACATACATACATACATACATACATACACACACATATATATATATAACTCTCTGAGCACTTACTAACATACTCACCGAACATTCACACACCTCCATAGGCGCCCGCTTCCGCTCGGAATGCCCGTCCGAAGGCAACCACTTTAATTGGTAGTTGCGATGCTTTGAAGGTTTTGCCCATGAAAAGACCAGCCAATGGGATCTCGGCCGTGCCTGAAAGTGCCAGGTGCTCGTACGGTTTCTCGAGACAGTAGGTCTGCGGTATTAAAAAATAGGTGTGATGATTGGAATACCATATATCGATGCAAATGTTTGTGTAGCTCAAAAATATATATACACAGCTAGTGTTCAACCGCGCCGTCTCTTTGCCTACTAAAAATCCTAAAAGCATATACTACCGAGGTTGCTACGAACAGGCGCACATGCTAGCCACAGTCTGGAAATGGCAACCACCAAAATGAAGCGAATTAATGGACACATCAATAGGACCGAAGTTGACTATTAAAAATGTGAGAAGGACTACGAACACATCTGTGTACGAACCAGCACCCAGCATCACGCACAATTGCATCACTGAATATGACAACCAACATACGCCTTCAACAGGCACGTTCAACTAATGCCAACAGACATACGCCTTCAACAGGCACGTTCAACTAATGCCAACAGACATACGCCTTCAACAGGCACGTTCAACTAATGTCAACAGACATACGCCTTCAACAGGCACGTTCAACTAATGTCAACGGACAAACGCCTTCAACAGGCACGTTCAACTAATGTCAACGGACATACGCCTTCAACAGGCACGTTCATCTAAGGTCAACGGAAGCCCTTCAAAAAGGTCAGATGCGACTACCACAGGTGTCGGAACTACCGTAGAACCTCTATCACTATTACCGAAGCAAGCTCAAAAAAAAATCTTGCCACAGCTGACATGTATGGCGTGTACCGTGGTGCAGAAAACTCGACACAAAGTACCACTATCTGTATGACCGCAGGCCACTGTTAGGCCCACTTGAACCCAGTGAGATGCTGTTGGAAAGAATAAATCCGACCCCCACTATCACGTGTATGGTAACGTTATTGATATATGTGATGATACAACCCATCCAAGACACAACAGCATGTACACGACAACATAACATACTCACCTGTGTTGCCTCTACATCTCGAGGCTTGAACCCGCACGCCTCAACCAGGCCAGTCTTAACCACATCGGGCGTTGTAACCACAGTAAAACCCCTGTCACTGACAAAGTCGACCGCATATTGTATTAGGGCCAGCTCTAACCTCGCGGCAGCGTTCTTGAGGTAGTAGAAACTGTGTCCACTTACAGCGGAGGCTACAGCGAGAGTAGCAGTAGAAGATCAATACTATATAAGGGATGTGCACGGATTAAATTATGTACAAAGCAAATAGGAATGTCATGGGTAACCCACAGATACAGAACTCATTCGACTATATGTATGGCTTCATGACAACGAATGGACACATACGGGACAGAGAGATACGAGAAAGGGGATAGCTGTTCTACACACACACGCAATTCGCACAGATAAGAATGCTATTATTTATTCCGAAGTTTCTCAATATGAATTCGATTGTATATTTCATTTAATCGTCTATTCCGAGATATTTTTGGTTCGGACTCTATACTAGACATCTCATCACTTACGGTGCCAAGTAGTACCCTCCACTGAATCCTTGTGTATGAGCTCATCAACCATCTAGACTTCACGTGGATCCAGACTTTGCTGACGACACTAGATATATTCCATCCTGTAATCACAACGATATAAACACAAACCTATGCACAGATATACGCACACGTACAGGCTAGCGTATTAACAAATCACTCTTACAAGCATACACGTACAAACCACACACAAAACAACTCATACCAGCTTCAAAATCGAATAAATCCAAGTATTTGCCTAGCTCCACATGATCTTTTGGCGTGAATGCAAAGTGAGGCTTATCGTTCCTCATGGCCACAATACGTGCGTTTTCCTCTGCGCCAATGGGACTGTTTGGATGCGTTTCATTTGGTATATTTCCAGCGGCGTCGTATAGTTGTTTGGTGATATCGGAGAGTTCTGATTCGCTGATTGTTAAAGTGCTCTTCAGGGCTTGAGACTCTTGAACCAGAGCGGATCGTTTTGCAACGACATCATCTCTGAGTGTGTTGTGTGTGTGAAGTCGTGCTGTTGTATTAAAATAGTATTCGCACGTGGCATCACTTGAGATAACATCTACATATGTGTGGCTTGAGTGGTGCTTTAAGCTGCAGGTGTAGCTGTCAGACTAAAAATACCGCAACAAGTATTATGCTGAGCATCACAGGAGGTGTTCACTTCCCCATACTGAATGAAATCCCAATAGGTGCAGGAAACCGAAAGCTGAAAGTCGCGATGTGGCTGTGTAGCTCATCTTATACAGATCCACATACATTCGCAGTGTACACATACACAAGCACACGCGCACCCACACTGTTTAACACACGCGTAAATACATACACACACATGTACCCAGTAAAGTACAGAAGCGAGGTTATATAATCCAGTATACACATACAAGCAAGCGTATGTACCCAACAGGACTTTTGGCGCCAAAAGCCTACCCTTTTAGTTTAGTAAGCCCCTTTAATTGGCCGTTCAGCTCGTTCCGTCGCTGTCGGTATTCGTTCACACGGCCAATGAGACTGCATTGATCTCGGTATAAAGTCTTCACCGAGTACGCATCTGCCGTCTTGACATTCCTGATGCGCGGATGAGATTGTATATGGCGTTTTATAAGATATTGCCCTTAGTGTGTAGATATAACTGTGCAGGCTTCTTACTCGTACCTGATGCGCCCTCTTGGCATGCTTGGTGAACGTGTAAGTACAACCGAACGTTGTCAGCTGATATGAGCTCCTGCCCTGAGAGCATACCGTACTGGTTGTCTGTCGAGCCATACTACTCCCAACAGTTATGCGGCCTTGACATTCCTGACATATGAGTACGACACGAGGAGCAACAATCTGCTGGTCCATCAACATGTCGGCGTACACCTGCACGTCGCACTACAAACACATCCTTACAGCACAACCTATGCTAAACAGTGTGTGGATCAAGCAAGATGGGGTCAGTGCTACACGCGTTGTGTTGTACGTTTTATCTCAGCAATGAACAAGCACACATTTTAGAATGATTACGTACCTATTTTGAGCATTCCTGTGCATTGCATCCGCATGTTCCGATATGCGTTTGAAGTTGAAGCTTGGTTTCTGCAGCAACTCCACCACTTCTGGGCTGTTAGTATCGGTAGATGCCGCTGCTATTGCGACATGTGACGGAATAAGCCAGACCATACAATTTTAGCCAGCCCGCATTGGTGGTCGATACATTACACACAATAGATCCACTAATAAGTGTATTTGGTCTGCTGATACGCCAGCTGCTAATGTGACATGCGACGGAATAAGTCAAATCATAGAAGTTTAGCCAGCCAGCCCGCATTGGTGGCAATTACATTACACACAATGGATCAACTAATAAATGTATTTAGTCTGCTGATACGCCAGCTGCAAATGTGACATGTGACGGAATATGCCAGATCATACAAGTATAGCCAGCCCGCATTGGTGGTCGATATATTACACACAATAGATCAACTTATAAATGTATTTGGTCTGCTGATACGCGAGCTACAAATGTGACATGTGACGGAAAGAGCCAAAGCATACAAGTGTAGCCAGCCTTCATCGGTGGTAGGTACAGTACACACAATAGATCAATTTATGTGAGTACAATGGTCTGTTCATCCGCCAAATGTTAAGAACACGAAATAACCATGGACGGCACCTTCATACGGCGCACAACGAATATAAGTGTAGCTTCATGTATAGATGCAATCTGAACCATAGCTTAAATGTATTTGTTGTCATTTCGTTGTTCACTTGGGCTCCTTAAGTGACTAGAACAGCCGTAAACACGTGTCTCTATAAGTTCATTTGCACCCACAAGTGTCGCCATGCATGTGGCAAACATAAAAATTGTCAGTCCCGATTGCACATGAGATACTCTCTGACATCGCAATAACGAACTCCTAGCATAGCTATTATATGTCGAACACACCACAGCTACTAAAACGAATCCACATCGACCACTAAAGAGTTTGAAACGCAATATTCCGCACTTGCGCCAAATACTTAATACAGAGGGTCAGAAATTCTGTAGACTGTCCCTTTTATGCCATTAAATACCACACCACATGCATCAGACAATATCTGTGAAACGCATAGCAGTCCATATCACAACTATATACAAGACATGCACAGCCAACACCGATCGGATCTGAATCATACCTGCAGCGTGCATCAATCGATTTATTTGAAGTGTTGAACATCTTGTAAGATGTCCTCTATGGACTTTGATGGACCACATTGCACCTCTAGCTACTACCGTTTCGATGGCAGCTATTCAAATATACCAACTACCGTTTCAATACCAACCGTACTACTATGTCAGCTACCTGTTCGATGTCAGTTGTTTTAAATTCATCTACGAGTCACGCCAACAGCCCTTTTACGGCAGATGAACCAGCCACTACTACAAACCTACAACACTCAAATTGTATAGTGAGGTGTAAAGGTGTAATTGGGGGTCACAGAATATTACACACGTAACCCGTGCCAACTAAAAACTAGGATGTGTTAGTACAGTGAGTGTTTACGTGAGCAATCTGCGTTCTATACAAGATTTGAACGTGTGTAAGGCCGCCCCTATTAGGACCACTATATTGTCGGTATATATTTATAATTTATAATATAGTGTCAATATTTACCTTGTCCAACCTAAGACCTATGCCTTTATTACATACGCGGTAAAGCGCCGTGCAACTATTTACTATGGTGCAAGAGGGATGTATTTAAAATAGAATATTGACATGATGTTTGGGGTTCTAAGAAAGCCTTGTCCGGCTATTTTGCCACAGATCTGAAGCGCCCGCCAAAATAGAAGTGGATGTTCGGTACTTATGATATTTAGTTTGATATGATCTCTCTGGACTTTGCTGGGGTCTGGTCACTCTGGACTCAAGAGTCAAGAGTCTGGACTCTGGAGACTGGACTGTGGACTGTGGACTTGTGGAGTCTGGAGATGCGGAGATATGGCAATGTCCGCCAGATCTATTACTACTATTTATGTATGACTATGACTCATACGATCTCTGGAGATAGCATATTCTATGACGAGACTATTTCTATTTATTATAGAACACTTGCCTCCCTATTTTATTCATTGCCATACACAAACAGTGGACACTATACATGAGAGAGAGAGAGAGTTGGTATCCCATATGGTATCGTCAAGTCGGCCACTTGTTAGACCACGCACGAAAGAACAGCAGTGTGTATTATAAATAGATTAGCTAGCGTTCAATCAATTTAACCCTGCACTCATATAGACATCAAGCCATGATGTCGCACTCACGCGCCAAGACGCCGCCGCCTAGACCCACCACTACAGCCCCGGCCAAAACAACACTCAATGGGGGCGCTCCAGGGGGTCTATTTGGCAAGATGAAGCGGTTTGTGAATACAAAGATATTCCACGTCGACAAGACCCCGGACCCCGAGATTGAGCACAGCATCGCACAGTTTGATGAGGCCAAGAAAAGGTATGAGAAATGGTTACGCGAGTATAGAGAGTAGAAAAAAAACTCTATTGGTATACTCTATGTATAGTAATGTGCGAATAAATATATAACCAGATATACAATTTGTATATATATATATATATATATATATATATATATATATATATATA